ACACACACACACACACACACACACACACACACACACACACACACACACTTCTTCAGAGGAGTTAGGAGAAATGTCATCTTATATCTTTCTTTTTTTTTTTTTTGAAATAGTATGTTTTCCCCCAGCTGTGTTAAGAAAATTTTTAGCATTCATTTTTACAAGATTTTGAGTTCCAAATTTTTCTTCCTCCCCTCTTCTGAAAATGATAGGCAGTTTGATATGGTTTATTCATGTACTATCATATAAAAATATTTTCATATTAGTCACAGTTGTGAAAGAAGAAACAGATCAAAAGGGAAAAGAAAACAGAGAGAATAAAGTAAGTGAAAAAACATCTTCTGATCTGCATTCATAGTCCATTAGTTCTTTAACTGGATATGGATAACATTTTCCTTCGTGAATCCTTTGTACTTGTCTTAGGTCATTGTGTTGCTTAGAAGAGCAGAGTCATTCATAGTTATCATCACACAATGTTGATGATACTATGTATAATTTTTTCCTGGTTCTGCTCATTTCACTTAGTATCAGTTTGTGCAAATCTTTCCAAGTTTTTCTGAAATCAACCTGTTCATCATTTCTTATTGCACAGTAGGATTCCCTTATATTCATGTACCACAACTTGTTCAGCCATTCCCCAGTTGATGGGCATCCCTTCAGTTTCCAATATTTTGCCACCACAAAAAGGACCATTATAAATATTTTTGTAAGTGTAGGTCCTTTTCCCTTTTTTATGTTATCTTTGGGATACAGACCTAGTAGTGGTATCCCTGTATCAAATGTTATGCACAGTTTCATAGCCTTTTGGGCATAGTTCCAAATTTCTCTCCAAAATGGTTGAATCAGTTCACAACTCCACCAACAATGCATTAGTGTCCCAGTTTTCCCACATCTTCTCCAGCATTTATCATTTTCCTTGTCTGTTATATGAGCTAATCTGATAAGTGTAAGGTGGTGCCTCACAGTTGTTATAATTTGCATTTTTTTAATCAGAAGTGATTTAGTGCACTTTTTCATATGCCTATAGATAGCTTTGATTTCTTCATCTGAAAACTGTCAGTTCATATCCTTTGACCATTTATCAATTGGAGAAAGGCTTGTATTCTTACAAATTTGACTCAATTCTCTATATATTTGAGAAATGAGGACTTTATCACAGACACTTGCTTTAAAGATTGTTTCCCATCTTTCTGCTTTCCTTCTCATCTTGGTGTCATATCTTCTTTGCAACTATGGTTCTGTGTAACTTTGCAGCATTCACTTTTTAAAAAAATACGTTTTTATTGATTTTTTATATCAGCAGAATTTCTCCCAGTGTCTTTCTCTCTTTGTTTACTCAGAGAGCTATCCTACATAACAAAGGGTTAGTTTTTTTCAAAGAATTATATTTTTAAAGATAAAGATTTTGAAAATCCACAGAAATGATTAAGACATTGAAAATCTGAAATCATATTCAGTACTCAGCACTTGTGAACTTCCTGCCTCTACTGGGGATAGGGAGTACCTTCTTATGTTTTTCTTCCTACTCCATTTAAACTTTGAGCTCCTGGTTGGCAGAGATTGTTCTTTACCTCTTTTTGCATACACAGCATTTAGCATAGTGCCTGGCACACTGATATAAACTGAGTTGGGGCCTTGCTGATTTCTCTGTGATTTTGCAACTTTCACATTCAGTTTTGTATTTATTTTTGTTATTATAGTTATTATGCATGTTGTTTTCTTGGTTCTGCTAACTTTGCATCAGTTCATATATATCTATACTTCTCTGTATTCTTTATTTTTCACAGGAGAGTAATATTCCATTGTATTCATATGATATTCATTATTCATTTAGTCTTTGTTTAGCCATTTCCCAATAAGCATGTACTTTCTACCACCAAAAAAAAAGTACTGCATATGAGGACTTTTTAAAATTTATGTTTTTTTTTTTAAATACCACCTTTGCTACCTCTTCCCTCAGTGAAAAAGGGAAAGAAACAAAACTTTTTTAATGAATATGTATAGGTAAACAAAAGCAAATTCTGGCATTGACCACATCCAAATACATATATATATACACACTGAATCCATCATTTCTGATGGGAGGTGATCTCAGGGGATCTCTGGAATCATAGTTGATTATTGTGTTGATCAGAGTTCTTAAGTCTTTCAAAGCTGTCTTCACAATGTTGTTATTATATAAATTGTTCCCCTGATTCTGGTCACTTTTGATAAGTCTTCCCAGGCTTTTTGTGAATCCATCCATATGAAGAGTCTGTGTCAAAAAGTAGACATCTTAGCCACTTTGCATAATTCCAAACAGTTTTCCAAAATTGTTATACTGATTCACAGCTCCACCAACAATACACTAGTGTATCTGTCCCACAGTCCATACAGTATTGACTGTTCTCATCTTTTGTTGTCTTTGCCAGTTATCATGGGAGATGAAGCCTCAGGGTTGTTCTGGTCTGCGTTTTTCTTATAAGTGATTCGGAGCATTCTTTTATATGGTTGTTAATAGTTTGAAATTTTTTTGAATATTATTAATATCCTTTGACCACTTATCTGTTGAAATGGCTTTTGAACTTACCATTGGCAAGTTATATATAATTCTACGTGTGTGTGTGTGTGTTTATGTGTGTACACAAAAAAACTCTTATCTGAGAAATTTGATACACACTGTTTTGAACTAAGGGACATGAAAGAGGAAGCTTTATTCAATGATTTTTTTTTAATTGCTTTTCCTGGCACTTATTAAGTGAAGTTCCTAATCATAAAATATCCATTAGAATTGAGGCTCAATCTTATAAAAACTATTCTGTTAACCTTCATAGCAGAAAGTACTCTAACTTCTATTCCTTTGGCTAGTGACTTTAGGGATAAGAATCATTATGTTGCATGTGGATTTGCTTATCTCTGTAGTGAGGTTCAGAATTTTCCCTGTTGAGAATTTATCTTAGTAATTTTACTGATTAGTTTTTACTTTTGTCAACATGATGCTTATATCCATTTTATTATTGGCTCTGAAGGTCTTGATAAATCACTCGTTAGAATGAGTTAGTGAAGCTATGAAGCCTTCCAGAAAGGTTTTTAAAAAAATATACCTGGCTGGTAAGGGAGGAACATAAGAAATTGATTAGTTATTGTTTTTAACTCTAATAATTTCTGACTGTTGCCTTTAGCAATCTCTGCATTCTTTTATTTCCCTGGTATAAAAAATGAAGCAATATACTTTACTTGTAGATTGTCTCCTGTTATCAAATATAGGGACTCCTAAAAAGCTCTTTTATGTTCTCTAAATCCTAGCTGTCTCTTTGGTTAATTCTTTCTTCTTTGCAGTGTCAGCCTTACTTAGCCATCTTCACGTAGGCTGTTTGAGTATGCACCATCTCTTTTCCAAGGAAAGTTTATTGCATAAAGTAAAGAGCTATAACATTTTCAGAATTTGATGCTTAGAATGCAGTGACTCTGTGAATTTTGGTTTGCTTCATTATGTAGCTTAAAGATGTATATTTTTAAACTTCCCTTTTAATTAATCATTATCATAGATTGTTACTCTCAGCAGATTCTGTAGTCATAAGCCTGGGGTTATAACAGTTAAGCAGGAAGCTTCTTCCAGGAAAAATTTCAGTGTAGTCTCTGTAATCTTTTCTGGTACACCATTATCAGGAATTTGCTTTGGTCCTCCATTTGGTAATTGAACGTTTTTTCCCTTTGTTATGTAGGAGAAACTTTTTTCCCCCTTTACTTATTCAGTGATGATAATGATGATAGCTAATGTTTATGTAGCAACTACTATGTGCAGGCAATGTGCTGAGCACTTTACAATCATTTTCTTATTTGATCCTTGAAGCAACCTTACTAGGGAGTGCTATTTTTATCTTCTCCATTTTACAGATGATGAAACTGAGGCAAACAGAGGTTAAGTAATTTGTCCAGGTTCATACAGCAAGTAAATGTCTAAGGCTGGATTTGAAATCAGTTCTTCCTGACTCTAAGCCTCAAACTCTCATCTATCCATTGTATCACCTAGCTGCCCCCAGGTGAAATGAACTTCTCTCTGTCAAAGATATTCCTCCTACCCCGTCTCATCTCTGTCTTGCCTTATACTCTTCCCTCCTCTCCTCACCTACAGCCCTCATGCTTGGAATATGTTGCCTTTTATTCTACCCTGAATTCTCCCTGCTGAAGTCTTCCTCTTTTCAAGGCTCAATTCAGTTACTACTTTCTTGGCATTTGGTTCGTGCACTCTCCTTCCTCCCACAAAAGTGATCTCTTCCTTCTGTTTCTAATGACTCTTTGTCTGGATCTCTGCTTTGCACTTAACACACTCTGCTTGTTTCATACTTGTGGTACATGTCTCTACAGAAAGAGAACATGAGATTCCTAGCTGGAAATGACATCAGAAATTATCTACTCACAGCCTCTCATTTTACAAATGAAGAAATTGAGGCCAAGAGAGGTCATAGCACTGGTAATAAGTGGTAAAACTTGGATGTTGTATCCTGTCTGTTATTTTACAAACTTCTTTAGGATAGGGACTGTTTGTTTCTTGGTATTTTTTGGCATCCATCACAGTGCCTTACACATAGTAGCACTGAACTGAATTAACTGATTGTTGAATTATCATTACTCCAGGTCCAAGTCCAAGTGCAGCAGTCGCCTCAGCAAGTCTCAGCCCAGCAGCTTTCCCCTCAGCTTACTGTCCATCAAGCCTCAGAGCAGCCTATCCAGGTCCAGGTGCAGATCCAAGGGCAGGCCCAGCAACAGGCATCACAGGCAATACAAAGTCAGACTCTGCAGAGCCCGAGTCCCTCTCAGCTTCAAGCTGCCCAGATCCAGGTGCAGCATGTGCAAACTGCCCAGCAGATCCAGGCCACAGAGATCCAGGAAGAGCACATACAGCACCAGCAGATCCAAGCCCAGCTAGTGGCGGGTCAAGCTATTGCTGGAGGCCAGCAGATACAGATCCAGACAGTTGGTGCACTTTCCCCACCACCTTCCCAACAAGGTTCCCCTCGGGAAGGAGAGCGGCGGATCAGCACTGCCAGTGTCCTTCAGCCTGTGAAGAAACGTAAAGTAGATATGCCTATAACTGTGTCATATGCTATTTCCGGGCAACCAGTTGCTACTGTGCTGGCCATTCCACAGGGCCAGCAACAAAGTTATGTGTCCTTGCGGCCAGACTTGTTAACGGTGGACAGTGCTCACCTGTATAGTGCCACTGGGACCATTACCAGCCCAACTGGAGAGACTTGGACCATCCCTGTTTATTCAGCTCAACCCCGGGGTGACCTTCAGCAGCAGAACATTACCCACATTGCTATCCCTCAGGAGGCCTACAATGCTGTCCATGTCAGTGGCTCACCAACAGCCCTGACAACTGTAAAACTGGAGGATGATAAAGATAAGATGGTGGGCACCACATCGGTGGTGAAAAACTCCCACGAGGAAGTTGTGCAGACCCTTGCAAACTCTCTCTTTCCAGCCCAGTTCATGAATGGCAACATCCACATTCCAGTGGCAGTGCAAGCTGTGACAGGAGCCTATCAGAACGCAGCGCAGACTGTTCACATTTGGGACCCTCAGCAGCAGCAGCAGACAACGCCAGAGCAAACGCAGCAGCAGCAGCAGCAGCAGCAGCAGCAGCTGCAAGTCACCTGTTCAGTAAGTCCCATTTGTCAGATTTATGTTGTGTCTAGTAACACAGTAGTGTCCGTTGATCTCTTTGAAGCCATGTAGTAATGACAGTGTTCTTTGAGAAAAGGGATTGTAAGAAAATTCTCTTCCTTTCGGTTATCTTTGCCTAGTATGCAAATAGACTGCCTCTAGAGTGTCTTTGAAGTAATTAGAAACTCTAAGGAAGAAGACTCTTAGGGCTTGGGTAGTGGGAATGGGTAATTAAGTGGCATGCACTTATTAAGGGTGTACTATGTGCCAGGCACTGTGCTAGTTGCTGGGGATACAAATATAAATAAAAAGAAACTCCCTGCCTCGTGGAGCTTAGATTCTGTTGGGGGATGGACAACACATGAAAGGAGTCTGAGAAGGAGTTGTGAGAGGGGTACAAGGAAGTTCACCTTCTGATCCTTGGTGGTAAAATTCAGAGAGGTGGAAGCATTACCAGGAGAGGAATGAAGCTTGGCTGGAGAGGACCTGTCTCTGAAATGGAGGCCCCAAAAGGAATTTTCCAGGGGGAAAGGGGTGCCAGGTTAGGTAAGGGATATTGCAAGGTAAGGAGCCCCCAGACACTGATGGGACCTATGAGTACTGATTTGGAAAGCTTTTCTTGTTGATGTTATTGTCTCATAGTGAAACCCCAAATGGACATAGGATTCTTACGGATCAGATCTTATACAGGTTGTCCCAAAAGTCTTAGTGCAGTTTTTTACCTTTAATAGGAACAAATTGCATATGAAGAATAAGACCCGGAGAAGTAAGGTGACAGGCCCTAGATTACATGATGTAGTAGATAGAGCCAAGATGTCAACCTTAAGCAAGATGTAAAAAAGAGGAAGTCATAAAGGCAGGAAAGGATGAAGAGATGCAAAGAGGACCCAGGAATTAAACATGTAGAAGAAGGGGACTGAAACTGAGGTGCAAAAGGCTTGAGCGGCCTCATTTTCTCATTTGAGAAGTTAGATCCTCATCTGCTATATATTACATCCTTGGTCATGCTGTATATACAACGGTGAGACTGCTGAGTTGATTCCAGGTAGTTCCAGCATCCGAAAACAGAGATGCAACAGAGAAATGCAATTTCTCCATTTGTTCGGCAGAATTGTGAGGTTATTTTTCTCCTCCACTTTATATATTCTCTCTAGACAGTTTTTTGACATTCACATGTGGAAGTGTTTAAATGTTTCTCAGTAGGAGCTACTGACTTGCTGGCATGTCTTTGTGGTTTGAGGTCTTCAGTACATCTTTTGCACCTGTGATCTTTTAGTGGAAAACACTGCCCAGAAACCACAATTATATTTGTATTACTTACAAGTAATTTGTATAGGCCTACATAGAAATGCTGTCATCTATCAGGGTAATGATAAAATTTCAGTTTTAAAATTGCTTGAACAAAGACACTTTTTTTTATTCCTCTTATCTTATCCACTCCAAGATTTATGATCAGTATTGTTTCATAGAACTCACATTTCAGAATTCTCAGATGGCTCTTCTTAAGTATCTACCTCTCTGTCTTTGCAGAATTGTGCTACTAGTGAATTTGTTGCTTAGTTGTTTTTTCATTGTGTCTGACTCTTTGTGACCTCTTGTGGAGTTTTCTTGGCAAAGATACTGGAGTGGTTTGCTATTTCCTTCTCTAGCTCATTTTACAGATGAGGAAACTGAGTCAAATAGGGTTAAGTAACTTGCTCAAGGTCACTTAACTATTGGGGCCAGATTTTCAACTCAGGAAGATAAGTCTTCCTTACTCCAGGCCCAGCACTCTATCTATTGTGCTACCTAACTGCCCTTAGGAGGGAAAGGAAAGGTCAAAGAGATGTTGTGGAAGATCTTAGAATCTAGTTGTGAGATAAATTATAAATATTAACATAGCAATTAAAGACTCTCAAGTGGTATATTGTGTAGTACACAATTGAAAGTGCTTTAGGAATTGTAGATTGAGTGCAGTTAAGAAACATTTTGTGAAGGAAGAGGGATTAAAGCTGGTCTACGAGGAAGGCTGGGATTTGGATTGAGTGAAGAGGATAGGAGAAGACATGTTATTTATTTATTTTTTCTGCCTAGTGTGTGTCAGGCACTTTATTTTTTTGGTGAGGCAGTTAGGGTTAAGTGACTTGCCCGGGGTCAGACAGCAGTAAGTGTCAAATGTCTAGTCTGAGGCCAGATTTGAATTCAGTTCCTCTTGGCTCCATGCCCGGTTCTCTGTCCACTGTGCCACCTAGTTGCGCCTAGAAGACATTTTAGATAGCAGAAATAGTGGACAGAAAGACCCAGATGAGGGAATGGAAGCATTGTCAGTTGTAGAAAGAACAATGAGTTGATTAAAGTGATGCTTTAGAAAGGCCTTAGTAGTGCACAGGAAAGTCTGGAGTCAGGAAGATGACTTGTTAGGGACTTTTGCAATATTCAAGATGGAGGTAAGGACCGCAAATAGAATATGAAGACAGAATGGATGGGATTTGATTGGTAACTAGATTTGAGCACTAAAGAAAGGAAACCTCCAAATGTTAGGAAATGGAAGGAATGGTGTGCTATTGACAGAAGTGGAGAACACTCAGTTTTAGGACAAGGATGTTTTCAATTTTAGACAGAAGGATAGTCAGGTGAAAGGCCAAGATATGAAAGTATGGGTGTCAGTAGTATAGAAGCAAAGGTTTTAATGAAAGTGAATGTTGAGGAAAAAAGAGTAGAGGGCAGAGACTGAGCCTTGGGAGTAGTTTATAGTTAAGAGAAGGAAGAAAAGCAGGAAGAGAAGCCACAATGTGAGTGGAAACTAAAGGAGCAGAGAAAAGGTGGTCATTGGCAATGGCAAATACAGAAGAACAATCAGGTAGGAATAAGGACTGAAAAAATTTATGTTTGACAAGAAAGAAGGTCATTAGTGACCTTGAGAGTTTTAATGAAATGATGGTGTTCATAATTATTCAGAAAACTGGAGATCGTGGATATAAGATTCCTTAGCTGAGAATCTTGGGAGTATTTGAAAGTAGAGGGAGGTTACCTGTATTGAAGATCCTAGAAAGCAAGCCCTGAAGATGCTTTAAACCCTGTTTACTATAGCATAGGGATAGAACCTTCTGAATATCTGACCTGTGCTAGATGGAGGAAAGGAGGGTGTTTGTTGATTGTTAGGCAACTAGAACAATTTGAAGGTGATCCTTTCCTGATGGGTGATTCCTCGAGTAGCCAAGAAGCATTGCTTCAAGAAATAAACTTGAGGGGTGGCTAGATGGCAAAGTAGATAGATCACTGGTCCTGGAGTCAGGAGGACCAGAGGGACCAGAGTTCAAATCCAGCTTCAGACACTTGACACTGTCTTTGTGACCTTTGCCTCCCCCCCCCCAAATCAACCCAAAAACCCAACAAACTTGAAATAAGATGTTCTTTGAAGTTGAGTATTGGCATCCCTCTCAGAGCCAGTTAAAAAAACTGCTTGTCCCACCCCCACCCCTTTAATTAGTTTGGATTTTTTGTTTTCCCATTTTTTCTAAGCATCTTCTAAAAGTTTGGTACATCCTCATGTATTTGTTCTTGAAAGCAACATTCTTTCTTTCTCCTCTGTTTCTCTTTCTCTCTCTGTCCTTTCTCTATAGTCTTTCTTTTCCTCTCCAACCTCTCATTTTTTTAGATTAACAAGGGTTCCTTTGGCATTCTTTCTTTGGGGTATGAAGTAGTCCTGTTTTGGAACCTTTAGAAAATTGTCACCAAAGGAACTGAAGAAGTAGATTAATCTTGAGGTTTTCACTAAAAAATGTCTCATGCCTAAATATGAGTCATGTTTTGGGAAGAGAGTTGCTATGGGATTTTATTCAACACTATTGCTTGTTTGAGGCCATGTATCCAAGCTTGAAACTGAAGTTGAATATGTGTAGATCACTTCATATGATCATTTTTGTTCGTTGTAGGGTCCACAGAACACAAAGTACTTGTTTATTAGATGTTTGCCATCAAATCCTTTTGGAGAAACAGATTTTCTTTTTAAAAATATAATGTTTGCTTCTTATTGGATGACTTTCAGATTCAAATGAAAGCTTGAATCTTTGTGAATAATTGAAAAGTAGAGGAAATTGAAACCGACTGACAGTATACAAACAATTCTCAATTTATGTAAATTCACATTACAGAAATTCACCTTTACATAAAGAATTCAGAAAGAAATCAGCATTCCAGAAAACATCTGTGTTAACTTTGTTGTCTCTCTCTTCACTCTTGCCCTTCAGCTCAGTGCTCCATAGCCTTCCATCCCTTCACCAAAAAAAAAAAAGAACCCAAAAAACCCCAACACACTCCACAAGTGAAAGCAGAATGGACAACAGAAAGACCACCACCACCTGATCTGGGGCTTGGCTTGAGACCTGACTGAGAGAAGAGACCTTTGCCTCATTCATCCCACCCACTATCCCCCTTGTGTCTGTCTTTCATCCATTCATACTTGGGTACTGCCTGTCTGTCCCAGGCCTCTGTATGTTGCTCATCCTCTCCTGTCTGTGTCCATTTCCCATTTGTCTGTCCCCTCATATGCTCCTGCTCTCATATATCTGTCCCTGGTGCACGCCTGTCTTTGAACCATGTGTCAGTACCATCCCTTCTCAATGTGAAGCACTATTTCAACTGGGGGAGCAAATTCGAATTACTTACTGCTTTATATAGAGCTCTGGAGTAAAACTTACATAAAAATTTACACTTACATAAAATGAGAACTGCCTGTGTTAACTGAGAGAATGCCTAAGTTATGGATCACATAGGTTCATGCAATAAGGGAAGAACTTTAATGGTCATCTAGTCCAACCCACTCATTTTTTGGATGAGGAAGTGAGACCCAGAAAGATTGTCGCTTGCTCAAGGTCATACAGATTGTAAATAGCAGAGTCAGGGTCAAGTGGTGATCAGATGGGATGTGAAGAACAGTTTGGGGTCTGAGGCTGTCCAGTGCATCATGTGCATTTACACTGGATGACTCACAAACCAGGATAACCTGGCTTCTGGAC